CCCCCCCCCCCCCCCCCCCCCCCTTTTTTTTTCTAATCAATTTCACGTCTTAACTTAAAAATATGAGTAATCTTTTTAAATGCTCTTTTAAAATATATGAGTCAAAATTTTTACCTTTTAGTCTTGATTCAAAATCTCTTTAGTCAAATAATTACACTAACAAATATTTATCAAGAGTGATGAGTAAATATCCAGACTCATGCACTCTTAAAGTAAATTTTCTATTTTTTCTAAAAATAATGGGTGCGTTTGAAATTATTTTTTAGCTGTTTTCAAAAATGTTTTCGCACGTCTTTTGTTACATGAAAACGAAAACAGTCTACAAATCGTGTTTGTTTAATAAAAATTTTAAAAAGGGAAACGAAAATAAAAAATAATGGGTGCGTTTGGAATTCGTTCCAAAACGTTTTTATTTTTTGTATGAAAATGAAAACGAAAATGTTTTCATTTTCATTTTGGAATCATTTTTGAAAATGCGTTTGGTAGTTTTATTCCAAGATTGATTTCAGTTAAAAAAAACTGAAATTGTGTTTGGTGGTTTAATTTTTAAAAACGTGTAATAATATTTAAAATTAAAATATATTAAATAAATAATAATATTAATATATTATTAGATCAACAAAAATCACAAACTCAGATCAAGATAATATCACAAACTTAGGACCAAACGAACAAAAAACCTGCAAATCAGATCTGATAACAAAAAAACCGCCAAAAACTTGCTCCCTCCATCTCTGCAAATCAGATCCGCTACCGCCACCTCCACATCCCAGCTCTGGCGAGCCCATGCAAATCCCGCTGCCAACTTCACAACCAAGCTCCGCCGAGCCTAGGGAATCACGCTGCCACCTCCGCGGTCGTGATTCTGTGAAAACTTGCACAGCTCTGACTCGCGACAATCTTTAGTGGAGCACGAACCACTAGTTGTCGTCATCCACATCACATTTGATGCAGATATTCGAGAGAGAATAGAGCAGAGGGAGGAGAGAGAGAGCACGACGAGAGCCTTCACGGCGTGGATGATAACTCAGTCGAGTTCGCCGGTTCTCCAGCGTGATTTAGAGGAAGGAGAAGGAGCAAAAACAACAGCGACGAGATCGACTTTTTTGTCTTCACTTGCGAGATCAAAAACTCCGACGAGAACCATATATGAGTACTCCCAATCAGTGTCTTCGTCTTCCCTCGCGAGATCGAAGTCACGAGTCCGAGAACGGCATCCTGAGTTCAGGGAAGAGAGAGAAACGTGGGGAGAGGAGAGAGAGATCAGAGAACAGAGCCAGAGCGAAAGAGAGAGATGTCTAAAGATTATGGAGGAGAGAGAGAGGACCGTGGGGAATAGATGTGAAGAAGAGAGAGAGAGAGAGAGAGATTAGTTCGTTTTCATTTTTTATCCTCGAAGAGTTCACACTAGTCAAGGGCAGAAAAAAAATTCAGAGAGAAGAGAGAAAAGGAAAACGGAGAAAATGAAAACGGTCTTAAATCGTTTTCAGATTTTAAGAAACGGACAAAAACATTTTTGTTTTCAATTTTTAGAAAATTGTTGCACCAAACGCGTTTTTTCTGTCCGTTTTCATTTTTATCCTCGAAAAACGTGAAAAATGTTTTTAAAAACGAAAACAAATGGGCACAATGAGAATTATTTTTGTGAAGAAAGTAGTAAACGATTAAAAGTTGTTTGTCCTGTTCTGTTTTCATTTTCTAATATTTATCAACAATATTATATTAAATAATTAATTATTAGTTACTAATTATATTATATATTAATTAATAATTAATAAATAAATATACTTAATAACTAATAAATAGATAGTAATTACTTAATTATTAATTAAATATTAATTTATTACTATTAAGTTTTTAATTTTGTTAATAAAATAATAATTAATATAGTAATTATTTATTTAGTTAAAGATTAATTGTTAAAAATTAATTATATAACATATTATCAATAAACAAGTAATAATAGGTTATTAAATAAATAATAAATAATTAATATATCAATCATATATTATGTTAATTATAATCTATTAATTAGTAAATAGTTAGTACATAAAAAATAAATAGTAATTACTCAATTAATAATTAATATGTAATATATTAATCAATAATAATTAATAATTAATAATTAGAATTAATCATTATAAAAAGAATAATTACCAACATTAATAAATTATGTATATACTAATTATTTTTCTTAATACACTAATTAATTACGTATAATCTAATAAATATTAGTGCATTACTAACATAGTAATTACTTATAATTAATTATTAATTACCATTTCTAATTATTTAGCATATTAATTTATTATATATAGTTTAATTACTAATGTACTCATTAATGATAATTTATCCATTATTAATTACTTTATATATTAATTTATACATATATAGTTTAATTACTAATGTGCTCGTTATTAATGATAATTTCTCCATTATTATATTATTAATATATTAATTTTTATTTACTAAATAATTATTAATTATTAATTACTTAATATATTAATTTAAGATTATTAATTACATGTACTCAAAACAAACATAAATGTAACTAACTAAGATTTCATTTTTTTATGATATTTAAACTAATTTCTTGAAAGACCACCAAATTTAATTTTAAAATCGGTTGCAGAATAATTTTTAAAATAATCTAATTTTCATTTTTATATTAAAAATAAAACCTTAAGAACATTATCAAACGGGCCCAATATCTCAAGCTTTTTTCACAAGTGGCACTAGTTATAATGGTGTTATAATGGGCTTTAGTCTTCATCGACTAAGCCCGTGGACAGACCGCCAACTTACGGAGAACCACTGGATGATTTCTTTTGTCCTTTTTCCTAAGTTTGAGGAAAGAAGTTATATAGTGCAATTCTATTCTATTTTTGCGTTAGTATTAGTGTTGTGTGTGTATCAGTGTATGTTTATATATGTATATATTACATATCTTTTTGGCTAAAACATTAAACCTACAAGTTATAAACCTGTAGACTTTGGAGGAAAAATTTTGAGAAAATTACCTTTCTAGTATAGCACACAAAAATTTCAAGTTTTCTACAGAACCAATCGCGTATGAGCCTATTGACCATCAAAGGCAAAATGAAAAAGACGGTTTTTTTTTTTTTTTTGTTTTTTTGTTTTTTTTTTTTGGCTAAAGGACAATTTTTATGTATTTACATGAACCAATTGTTGATTTTTTTCCCCATGTCCACTTCGATCTTATTGCCACCTTTGATCTATGTTGTTGCTAACACGAAAAAGCACCTTGCTTGGGAACATAACTCTTTAAACCGAACCGAGTGAGTATATATATATATATATTATAAATCTACCATAAAGTAAATTCTCACAACTCACAAGTTGTGTAATAGATTATAGAAGTGAGTTGTAACTAAAGAAAGCTTTCCTTAGAAAAATAAAATAAAACGACTTACTTGCAAAATGTCAAAAACTTTTTCTGCAATGTATTTTTGGTATGAAGCAGCACCCTTTTGCTGAAGCTTATCTGGGTGCAAACAGAGTAAAGCCTTTTGATAAGCTCTCTTCACGGCGTTTCCTTCTATTATATCAACAAGAGGAACAGCTTTCCACCCACTCTCAGGCCATAGTACCTGCATTATAAATTTTGTAAATCATTATTGGCTAATTAATTATTATATGTTTTCCACAGTCAAGCAAAAACTTTATTTTTTTTTTCTTTCTTTCTTCTTTCTTTCTTGTTGTTTGAGATAAGAAGAAAGGTGAATCAATACTCACATATTGTAGAGTTGATAATAACGAACGTATATTTCCTTCCTTGCCTTTTGTCCATTGTCGTATTTTAGCATCTATATCCTGCGTAATGTGAAGTATTATAAATTACTGCTTCCAAGAAGTGAATCCATTTTCTGAAAAAGAAAAAAAAAATAAAAGGAGAGAATATTGTTTTATTTTCGTTTATATTTACCTGTATTTCTTGATTTTTTGTGCCAGCTCCGAGCAGCTCATTCTCATCTTGGGGTAGTACTTTTATCTGCCAACAAGTCAAATTTGAACTATACTATATGAAAAATGAATAAATAAATAGAAAGACAAAAAAATGTAAGGTGGAAAAGTATAGCATGCTTTAGAGTAAAACTAATAAAAGAATTTTTTCTGTGTATTTCAGTACATAACAGACACAGAATTAGGAACTGAATATCTCAGACATTAATATATATATTGCACCTTGAACTAGATGGACAGAAGAGAAAGACCATTAAGTTAAAGTATAGAAGAAAACATGGAAACAATATATGAAAAGAAGAATCAAATTTAGATACCTGGAAGGTCTCGTGGAAGGACTCATCTGTTTCTTCAACTACAGACTTAGAGCCAACTGGATATGAACCTGACAAACAAATTTATGCATTTTATGTCGTTTTTTCCCTCCTTTCCTAAAAGGTTGGTCCAAGTAGAAGCAGAAAAAGGCGGAACACCTTTTAATTTACACTATCATGCTATGACAAATCTTAAAGCATAGAGAAATACTTTAGGGCCCGTTTAGTTCCCTGATTCGAGTTTTTAATTTGAGTTGATCTAAGTTAGACGAATGCACCCACGCGTAATACGAATAAATGATCTCGAATCCACGTAGGCACAATTGTAGGTAAGACCTACGTGGATTCCACAAGAACACATAACTTAGATCTTGGCGAGTGCATTTAGCGTTTCTCAATTCTTTACCTCATGATTTGATCACTTACGCATATATCCTAACACTTATCTTAGCCATGTTATTGTTTTCATTTTTAATGAAAAAAAGGACTAACCAGTATTTTTGGATGCTTGGTTGACCTGTCCAAAAGCGTGTACTTTTGTTGACTGCTTGAGATCTTCATCCATCTGAAGAAGAAAAAAAAAGGTATTTTAGACCTTCCTTCATCTTAAAGCATAGAGAAATACTTTAGGGCCCGTTTAGTTCCCTGATTCGAGTTTTTAATTTGAGTTGATCTAAGTTAGACGAATGCACCCACGCATAATACGAATAAATGATCTCGACTGTTGATCCACGTAGGCACAATTGTAGGTAAGACATACGTGGATTCCACAAGAACACATAACTTAGATCTTGGCGAGTGCATTTAGCGTTTCTCAATTCTTTACCTCATGATTTGATCACTTACGCATATATCCTAACACTTATCTTAGCCATGTTATTGTTTTCATTTTTAATGAAAAAAAGGACTAACCAGTATTTTTGGATGCTTGGTTGACCTGTCCAAAAGCGTGTACTTTTGTTGACTGCTTGAGATCTTCATCCATCTGAAGAAGAAAAAAAAAGGTATTTTAGACCTTCCTTCCCCCATCAACAAAACTGTTATATGTACAAGGAAAACTCTTAATGTTACGCAATTGAGCACCATTGACATAATAGTTACATTAGGCACCTGTAATTTCTCATCTGTTTTATTCGTGTTATTACTTGGTTCATCTTCAAAAACGCATTTCTTATTCCATTTGCAGCTCTGACTTCGAAATTTAAGTCCATCTTTCGGATTTGGTGAAGCTTCTTGGTTGAACATCCTGACAAATTCTCTAACCTTTCCCTTAACTCTACTCCTCCCGTTACTCTCTCTTGGGTTCCTAGGTGAACATTGAGGAGCACTGACTTTATCCACTTCTGAACTGCTCATAGAAACATTGTTCCTTTCCTGTTTCTTCGCAGTTTTAGTGAAACCAATAACTGAAGAAGTTGAATCTTTGGTGCTTTTGGTCAATATTCTTTCCTTTTGACCACCCATTTTAGTCGCTTCAACACTGCCTGCATATAGTTTTTTTTATTAGTCTCCAAACATATACATACATACATACATATATATTTGATAATTCACTAAAACATATAAGCTTGAATGCAATTTACCTCGTTCCAAATGATCATCAAAGAGCAGAGAACGAATAGATTTCACCTCAAGTTTTTGAGGCTCTGATTGAGGCACAGAAACTTGACTTGGTTTTACTTTCTCCTCTTTGGCTTCATGAAGAGGCAAATCATTTTCTAGTTTATTCGGTTCATTTTTAGAGGAAGAATCAGGCAAAGGGGTTTTAGATGATTGGCTTTCCATGCCATCCTCCTTATCTATACCTTCACTATTTCCTGAAAATGGCTCAGATTTAGCCGTTTCTTTTGACCTTGTTGAACTACTCTTTCCTGATCTAATTGGCAAGTCCAATGGCACCCCTTTGCCTGCCCACTTGTATATCGAAAAATGGAAGTGGCTGCTGCTATTGGTAGAGTTTTCTGAACTCTCTGAATCCTTTTTCAAATTGCTTCCTGTACCTGTTTTATCGGATTCCGCAGTCAAGTTTGACGACACCTCACTGATAGTATGAGGAACTTCCTCTGATAGAGGACTTTGTTCATGAGATGATCGAATGTCGTTTTTTGACTCGAAACCTTGGATCGCTTCGCTTGAAAATCTAGAAAGAGAAGTACCAGAAGAGTACGAATAGCTTATCCCATTTGAGGAACCGTCCTTATGTTTATATGGGCTACGAGCAGCGGAACCAAATGTTGGTAATTCCGCCCCTTTGTTCACTTTTGCAGGTAGGCTACAACAACAAAAACGAAAAAAAAAAAAAAAAAAAAAAAAAAAAAAAAAAAAATGAAAAATTTTTGGAAAAAAATTTGCAGGTAGGATCAAACAAAAAAAAAAAAAAAAAAAAAAAAAAAAAAAAAAAAAGGAAAGAAAAAAAGTTGAATCCTTTTGGTAAAAAATAGATGATGAAATATATGTTTAAGCAGTTTCTTTGCCATGCGCTCGTGTTAATTTTTATAATCGGTGAAATACATCTACGTTAGGCACCGCATACACATCTTGTACCAGACGAATTAGAAAATTGAAAAGCAGTCAGCTGAAAACTTTGCTAAATAATTTGATGTTTAGTATTTACTTTTCACAACAACATGTAAAAAATGAAAACATAATAAACAGAAGCAAATACGCATAAGTTTCAAGCACTTAGATCAGCAACAATGAAAATCCAATAAAGAGTAAAAAATAAGCATTTAATCTAAGATGATATTAAAACAAAGATGTATAGTTTTTAATCTGGTCAAACTCACGTCAAAATTAAAAAAAGACTCGAAAGTTTAAAATAATGTATACTGAAGAGTGCCTACCAAAGAATTCTCATTAAAACTATCTTGCTATATTTTCTCATAAGACTTTCTACGTAAGTTGTAACCAACAAGGAACAAATGACTGAATAAAGAAAGGTGGAACCTGAATTGAGAAAGAAGCGAAGAACTCGCAAAAGGCTCATCAGCTTTTGGTGGCAGAGGGCTGAGAACTCTGGAGCTCGGCGAAGTAGGGAAAACATAGTCACGGCCATGCCTCTTCGGAGTAGAATTCGCAGACACGTCGCCACCGAAAATGTCGTCGAAAAAGTCTGCGCTCTGGTACCGCCTCCGGTTCAGACCCTCATCTCCGAAAACCGGTTTTTCTCCCAAACCGGACCACTCCTCGTCGTTTCCTTTCGATGCAATATTGGAGTCGTTGACGTCGTTGAAGCTGTGCCGTACCTCCTGCATCGAGAACCGCCTCGGTGGGCCCCCAAAGACGTCGTGGAAGTCGACGTCGGAGTTCCTGAACGGCGTCGTTTTGGGAGAAGAGCCAGAGTTCATCATCAACGTCCTCTGGAGGCTGTAGCCCAAAAGAACGCTCTCTCGTTGCGAAAACCTCTCCATTTTCTTCTTCTCTTCTCAAATGCCCAAAAACTACACTTGAACAAACATGTATATAACGGCTACAATAAAGTATAAACGTTCAGAAACAGAAAAAATATGTTAGATTTTGGGTTCCGGGCAAATGGCAATGAAGTTTTAAGGTTTGTTTTTGGAGATCAAAAGTGAGAAGAAACAAGAGAGAATGCGTTGAAAGGGAAAACACAGATTCGTGAGCGTTGAAGCCAAACAAAAGCTTTGAGACCGCTGAAATAAGTGTGTTTGTGGATAAGCAGAAAGTTCCAAAAAACGACAACGTAAAGATTGTTGGGCCGCTTTGGAATCTTTTGTACGTCCACCAGTAATCCTTTTGATTAAAAATTTGAAGGAAAAAAAAAAGTTTTGATTATAAGTCTCTTGGCGGCCATTATTCGGGAAAATTTATGTGGTGATAATTAATTTCGCGGTCAGCAGAAACTCAAGTTTAGGACAACAAGGGTGTCTCTATTGTGGGATCTGCTTCGTTGTCTAAGAACTTCAATGGGCCAATCATGGTGGTTGAATAAATTTCGGTTGCGAGATTAAATTGGAAAGATTTGATAACTTGATAAGATAGAGGAGATTATTTCCAATTCAAGCTCACCCAAATAGAAAGGAAATGAAAAAAAAAAAAAAAATTTGTACGAATAATCAGGGAAAATCTTTTCTTTTTGAATTATTCTCATTGATATTTCTTAAATTTTGGAGTCATTTCAATTTACTCCTTAAATTTTAAAAACTCTCACTTTACTCTCGAAACTTTAAATTATTCTCACTTAATCCATTTTGTTGTAATTTCTATTAAAATTATACGAAAAAGAGGAGGTTAAGTGTAGTGATATGGTTTTTATAAGTTTATTTTTTAATATAAATCCAAACAGAAAGACTACTTGATTGTATTATTCTCTTTTTTTTATCTGTTTTTAACATAAATTGATATAGAAGGGATTAAGTGAAAACAATTCAAAGTTCAAGAGGCAAAATGAGGGTTTTTAAATTTTAATGTGTAAACTGAGAATAACCCTAAAATTCGAGTATTAGTGATAATAATCCTTTCTTTTTTTCAAACTTCATACAAAGTATTTCCACAATTTTCATTTACACCCTTGGTTTTTATTTTTAACTATAGTATGTTATTTCTTTCTTTTTTCTATCCATTTTTAAAATTTAAAAACTCAAACAAAAAAAATTGTAATGCAATACACTACGTACATTATGAGTTTTTAGTATTTATTGCATTATTAATATTAATTCAAAACTTTGAGTTAACTCAAATCCCTAAAAAATTTCTAGCTTTGAGTATGTTGTCCAAGAACTATGAATCGTGAGGCTAAATGGTAGTGCAATTAGGATTACTTCCAAAGAGTGCTAAAGATATCAACTTTAATTTCAATTTTTTGTATCAATTTTGATTTGTCATCTTTTTATTGGCATGCAATCTTTTATGCTTATTTAATGTTACAATTTATTTATAAAACTATCATATAAAAAAAAAAACAACTTAAAGTTGATACAAAACGTCTTGATTAGAATTGTAGTGTAGCATGTTCATAGAAGTTTTAGTGTAGCAGTAGGTCGAGGAATCTGATTACCTAGTAAACAGCTATAGTTTAATACGATTAAAATTTCATTAAACGACATCATTTTGGAAAACGACACTAAACTGATAGACGAAGGTTCAAAAACGAAAAGCAACATCATTTTGGAAACGGCAATAGACGGAAAATGATGTCAAGTCAAATACAACAGAAAAGCGACACGTAAACAACACTACAAAACGACATTAACTCCAAAAGCAAAAAAAAGAAAAAGAAAATCAATATACCAAACGACGTGAATACAAATAGGACGACTTAACCACATGATTTTGAAAACGACAATAAATATCAAAACGACACAAAACACAACCCAATCTAAAAGACAATTCAGAGAGAGAGGGAGCGAGATGAAACCCAACCTCACCTAAATGACAATTCAGAGAAAAGACAATTCAGAGAAACGACAATTCAGAGAGAGAGGGAGCGAGATGAAACCCAACCTCACCTAAATGACAATTCAGAGAAAGAAGAAGAAGAGAGAGGGAGCGAGATGAAACTCAACCTCACCTAAATGACAATTCAGAGAAAAGACAATTCAGAGATAGAGGGAGCGAGATGAAATCCAACCTCACCTAAATGACAATTCAGAGAGAGAGAGAGGGAGCGAGATGAAACCCAACCTCACCTAAATGACAATTCAGAGAAAAGACAATTCAGAGAAACGACAATTCAGAGAGAGAGGGAGCGAGATGAAACCCAACCTCACCTAAATGACAATTCAGAGAAAGAAGAATAAGAAGAATAAGAAGAAGAAGAAGAAGAAGAAGAAGAAGAAGAAGAGGAGTAGGAGGAGGAGGAGGAGTTTAAAAACTAAACTGAATGAAACGACAAGAATTGTAATAACGACTAAATGGAAAACGACATGAACTGAAAGACAACAATAAACACAAGCCAACCTAAACGAACTGGAAAACGACATGAAACACTGAATGAAACGACAAGAATTGTAATAATGGCTAAATGGGAAACGACATGAATTGAAAGACAACAATAAACACAAGCCAACCTAAACGAACTGGAAAACGACATGAAACACTGAATGAAACGACAAGAATTGTAATAATGGCTAAATGGGAAACGACATGAATTGAAAGACAACAATAAACACAAGCCAACCTAAACGAACTGGAAAATGACATGAAACACTAACGGACCTAAGCAACAATTCAGAGAGAGAGAGAGAGAGAGAGAGAAGCGACAATTCAGAGAGAGAGAGACTGAATGAAACGACAAGAATTGTAATAACGACTAAATGGGAAACGACATGAATTGAAAGACAACAATAAACACAAACCAACCTAAACGAACTGGAAAATGACATGAAACACTAACGGACCTAAGCGACAATTCAGAGAGAGAGAGAGAGAGAGAGAGAGAGAGAGAAGCGACAATTCAGAGAGAGATAGCAGTTTAAAAACTAAACTGAATGAAACGACATCTCGCTCCCTCTCTCTCTGAATTGTCTTTTAGATTGGGTTGTGTTTTGTGTCGTTTTGATATTTATTGTCGTTTTCAAAATCATGTGGTTAAGTCGTCCTATTTGTATTCACGTCGAACTGAAAAATGACATGAAACACTAACGGACCTAAGCGACAATTCAGAGAGAGAGAGCAGTTTAAAAACTAAATTGAATGAAACGACAAGAATTGTAATAATGACTAAATGGGAAACGACATGAACTGAAAGACAACAATAAACACAAACCAACCTAAACGAACTGGAAAACGACATGAAACACTGAATGAAACGACAAGAATTGTAATAATGACTAAATGGGAAACGACATGAACTGAAAGACAACAATAAACACAAACCAACCTAAACGAACTGGAAAACGACATGAAACACTGAATGAAACGACAAGAATTGTAATAACGACTAAATGGGAAATGACATGAACTGAAAGACAACAACAAACACAAACCAACCTAAACGAACTGGAAAACGACATGAAACACTAACGGACCTAAGCGACAATTCAAAGAGAGAGAGAGAGAAGCGACAATTCATAGAGAGATAGCAGTTTAAAAACTAAACTGAATGAAACGATAAGAATTGTAATAACGACTAAATGGGAAACGACATGAATTGAAAGACAACAATAAACACAAACCAACCTAAACGAACTGGAAAATGACATGAAACACTCCTTTTTTGGGAGAAATTATTCCCCCCAAAAAAAAAAAAAAAAAAAAAAAATGGAATCTCTCTATATGGAAAACACTATTAGCTTTTGACTCATTTTTTCTTTAACATTGCTTATTTCTATCTTCGTACATCCCTTTTTCTTATTGATCAAGTTTACGAGAAAGAAACAAACACCAATGATATGAAAAATGCTTGGGGCAACTATTAATGTTAAACACCACCATTAATAAAAAGTGGACTCTATTTTGTAAGTCTCGTACTGCGAAATTCATATTCTATTAGTGCGTGCTGCTAAACATCACCGGTACCTTATAATATTATTCAAATGATATATATATATATATATATATATATATATATATATAGATAGCTCAACTGATAATTAAAGGTCCCCTTTAATTGAGTTTCTCATAATATAAATGCCTAATTGGGCATTGGGAAATTTATAAGTTTAGTCAATTAATCCAGAATAAGTAGGAAAATAACCACGTGCTAGATATCTTTGTTAGGTAATGGAAGTTAGAAAACTAAAACAAGCGGACAAGTACTAAGCAACTGAATTGTCATCCTTTGGACTTTTTGCATGAATAATACTGCTGGCTTTTTCCACATTGAAGTCTGTCTTCTTTTGTGTAGCTAGATAACGTATGGAAGGTAAACTACCTATTAGACATTAACTTATTGTGTCCAATCAAAAGAAGAAGAAGAAGAAGAGAAAGTGTTATTTGCACAAAATTAAGGATGCAGTTATATATATATATATATATATATATATATATAAAAGAATAACCATTTTTTAAAAGGAAAATAGCCAAATTTATTAGTGCTAATGGTTGTTTATCATTTCACGCAAGTGGACGATGTCTATCGCCAAATTGTTTAGATATTGATGTCACGTAAAGAAAAAGAAAACTTCCATAATTAAAAACTGATATACTACAGTGATCGCATGCATAAGCTACTGATAATTCTACGATAACTCAATTATAAGGTGTTAAAATTCCCTCGGTCCGAAGGCTTTTTTTTTTTTAAGGCTGAAAAACGTATACAAACTCCATCCAAAAAAACTACTTTACTCAACACGTTTTCGTTGTGATCTTTATTTGTTAGATAATTAAATACAAACACTAAGAATCCGTTTGATTCATGAATTAGAACCATGTTATTAGAATCATTTACGTATATTTTTTATGAGAAAAAATACTGTAACAAACCACGAATCATTATTCAAATAAGAGAACGAATTCATCTACCACACGTCACCTAAATTCATATTATGGTTTAAAGATGCGTAAATAAACGTGAAACAAAGGATATATATGCATTTGTTATGCCACGTCATTCCCCAAAACGGCCCCTTTTTTTTCAAGATAACTATCAAATGACATAACCGGAAAGGAAAAAAAAAAAAAAAAAGAAAAAAAAAAGAGGAAATTTTCTATACCTGTTCAGGATGAAGAAGAACGACGTTCCCCAAAACGACGACGTTTCCGGATTCATCCATCATCTTTGCGAACTCGGCACCTTGATCTTCGTTGTCGCAACCTTCGACGCAGATACGAAGGAACTCGGAATACGAAATCGAGCTCATCGGAATCTCTCTGAGCTTCGATTTCAATTTCTCAACTTGAGCAAGCCTCAGAATCTTCCTCGTGTCGTTCACAGATAAGCCATGCGGAAAATCTCCGACGGCTGGGTCCGGCGCCGGAGGACTGAGGCAGTCCAGGCGAAGGCGATTGGAGGTAATGTCGGCTACTCGGAGCTTCTCCCGGAGTTGTTCTCCGACCGGCAACAAGAGCAGCTCCGGGAGTTTTGCTGGGGACTGGTCTGGAGATTTCCGGTGGAGGAATTGCCGGAAAAAGCCGTTTTTGGCTGAGTCCGGCGACGTCAGGTATTCCCGGTGGAAGTTAGCTTTGGTGGCCGTCTGGATCGACGGCAAGGATTTGATCGAAGAGTGTTCTGGAGGCACCGGCGGTGACGTTACTCTGCGACCGTCGAATAAACGCTTCCCTAGCATTTTACGGAGCGCCATTGAGATGAGAGAGAGAGAGAGAGAAAGAGAGAGAATCCGAAAATTGGGGGTTTAATGTATGAATTAAATGATGGTAAATATCTCATGCATGTATATATAACGTCCAACCTTAGTGGAACTACGAGGATAGACAAGAATCTCCAAGGCTTAAACCTTCTATTTGTCTCTTTCCTTTGTTGTTGTTGTTATTATTTTTTTTTTAATATAGGGTACTTTATTTTCTTTATTATTTATCAGTTTTTAAAATCTCTTACTTTTGCTTTTATTTTAATTGGAAAGAAATAGAATCTTTGGCAAGAGAAAAGAATCACATTTTTATTCTGTGTCCAACGTATCTGCCAATCCGACACACTATTATATGTGAGTTTGTCTTTTAATACATTTCAAATGATTTTGTCGTAATAGAATATTTTGTAAGAAAATTGGAATCGATATATTCGTAGCACAATATTGGCTTTTTATTAAATCATAAAGGTATTAGGGCTGATAAAGAAAAAGATGAAAATAATAGTATTATGTTAACATAAATTCCCCCCTTTCAAATAAAAGACATAAATTTTGATTCCAAAAAATTATTTTGTCTTAATAATAAATGATATTTTGATGTAAACTTCTTCACCAAGTCACCCAAATGACGATTCTCTGAGATAACTTCACAAATTATGGACATTATTTTTGTTTTTTGTTTCCTTCAAAATCAAGTGATTAGCGTCTGGCGAACAAGTATCTGGGATGATACACCATCGCAAATTCATATATAATGATGCAAAAGTTAATTTAACACCATTTTCTATGTTTTTTTTGTAAGAATCATTTTCTATAGTTTTCAAGTTCTCAATGTGTTTACTTAATTAGCGTCAATAAGCTTTTATCGAATTTTTTGAATTGGTTTGTGTCAAAAATAATGACGTTATTTTTTCCCCCTTTTTGCTTCGCTATCAGAATGACGTATCCAACAATTAGTAGCCACGGCAAAAAAAAAAAGTTAAATTCATGAATATTTTCTATTTTTTTCTCTTTATACAATTAACTCTTGGAAAGATTCTCTGTTTGCCTAGAGTACTGGAAGGTCATGTTTTTTTAACCGTTAAATCTGTCTACTTTTTTAATTTTTACGTGATTTTATGCAGATCTGACGGATAAAAATCATAACCTATCGGTATGTTAACGTACTTAAGAAGGTCCCTAATATTTATAATCAATTTATCTCATGAATAGTCATTAAACTCAAAGGGTTTCTCAAAAATGGTCATCTATTTAAATTTTAGATGAAAACCGTTATTTTTGTCATATAAAAGGCCCCTAAACTATTTTCTCTCTACTAAATTTAATTGCTAAACTTATAAGAAAAGCAAATGCCAAAATTACTTCATTTTTAAATAAGAGAGATTATCAAGTACGTCGGCGTACTAGTAGGTCAATTTTTTTTTCTAATTGTTAGATCTGTGAATTTTTTGACTTTTATATGTTTTTATGTAGATCTGACGGACTTAAAACCTGACATACCGGTATGTTAGCGTACGGAAAAATATTCATTTATTTAAATGGATGTAAAAAAAAATTAATGACATAAGTGTAAAATCTGCTCGTGAAAATAGTGACGAGTCTAAATTTGGTCATCCTATAGCTGTAGAATCAAAGGCCACCACATCTGTTTACCTTTAATTAAATGACATTCCGCGCCTGTCATTTTTGCTTGAAAAAGGCCTTAAAATTGATTAGTTAATTAACTCGAATTAACAAACTAAACAGACAATAAATCAGCAATTGCAAAAGCTGTATGAAATAACGAAAAACAAAAAGGTTTATACTTTATTTGAAGGTTGAATTAGGTTCAACTTGTTATATATATATATATATATTTACCTATATGTTCGCTGATAGTTGCCACTTGCCAGAAATTGAACAAATTAGGGCATATCTAATTATTTTATGCATTTTGATTTTTCATGACCTAAATAACAATTATATATATATATATATATATGTAAGGAACCTAAATAACAATCCTAATAGGTGGACGAGGAAAGGACTTCAAAGAGGTAAGAAAAGACGTATATTATAAGCGGGCTTGAGATTGTGAAAGTGACAAGTCCATCGTGATTGTATATTAGTTTGGTATTGCTCTTTCCTTTGGAAGCTTCTGCTTGTAGTAAAAGTTGATTTTAGTGTTTGGTATATCTTCTTAAAAGTGATTTTTGAAGAATTTTTTAAGAATCTGCGGCCAAAATCAGAAGCAGCCTAAAGACAACTTTAACTTTTAGATTGTGCTAGAATTAACATAGTACAATTAATGAAACTTTCATAATACCCATAATACTCCTAATAAAATTTAAAATTTACAATATTCTCTATCTAAAATTCAAACTCGTAATATAATATGATATGATATGATATAATAA